AGAAAGCTGCTGCTGATAACACTGGTAAACATTGTTTTTGTTGCACGAACTTTGTGAGGATTTTAGTTTATTTTATTTTAATCCCGCTCAGCTTTTTTGTGACAGCTAGATATTTATTTTTGACCTCATTTACCAGGCAAAAATTAAAGAAGGAATATTTATAGGTCCACAAATACGGCAACTGATAAAGGATACGAGGTTTGAAGATAAACGCAATGATCAGGCAAAACACGCCTGGAAATGTTTTGTGAACGTTGTGCAAAATCTTATACGAAACCATAGATTGGAAAACTACAAAAACTTAATAAATGATTTCATAATGTCATATGAAGCTCTGGGGTGTAAAATGTCCTTAAAAATACATATGCCGGACACTCAATCGGAAATCCATCTGCCAAGTTTGGGGTTTTTCCATATTAAGCAATAATTTATACTTTTTAAGAAAATATATGTTTTGATGCCACAAGAAAAGCCGGCGTGTCAACTTTATTCACATATTATTATTAAGTGAAGCTAGTGTATTAAAAGTTTGATATGAGTTCTCATGTGACTAAAAAAGTTAAAATTTTGTTAACCAGTGTAATTTATATAATTTGATGTATAAATAAGCATGTGTGGTGGTGTGGAAGTGTAAAAATATTATGTATCGGCTTAAGTGTATGCCAAGTTAGATAATCTTATACAGGGTGGAGGAATAATATTAGTGAAGATTTTGTCGGTATTTGATTGCTAGCAATCATTTTCCAATATTTTAGTTTTTTGTTTTCATAAGAAACGATTTCTACTCATCAAAAAGTATTAGCTTAGGTTAAGCTTCAAAACTGATTGCCGATACTAGGATTGTACTTGGAATGCAACAAACAACTCTTTTAAGATGTCCGAAAACTCTTTAAGGATCTGATGTACCGAGAAAGCGCTTAGAACACATACTAAATTCGCTAATGCGATTTATCTTGATTCCAACTAATTCATTGGTGAATGTGCGAGATACAAGATCTCATAATCTTGATCTCGTAATGGCGGTACAAAGAATAAGAAGAGAGAAAGCAAAGGATCCCAACATCTCTTATAGCTCGACTCAACATATTTTGGTTAATGTTTTGGGTATAAAGCGTGTCAATGCTAGACTCGTATCAAAAGCTCTGAATCTTTTGCAAATACGACGTTGAGTAGAGATCGCAAAAAAAACGTTTGAAAACGAATGCGAAGGATATTAAATTCAACAAACGCATCATTACTGCTAACGAGACGTGGATTTATGAATGTGAAGTCAAAACTCATCACCAATATAGCGAATGGCGCTCCAAATATGAGTCAACCGGGCTAAGGCTTATAACAAGTGTATGATGGGAAATTGGATTAAGCATTGGCATGATTGCGTTGAAAGCGATAATAAAGCTATAGAAGTATAAACTCTTTTTTATACACTTCAATAAAGCCTGAAAGAAGAGATTTGATTTTTCTTTCTTGTTTTCAGAATATATTGTTAGAGTTAAACCTTTGACGTTTCACCACCTTGTGTACCAAGACCACTAACAGCAAAAACTATCCAAATGATGCAACGCAAAATAGATTTATTATATATACTAACAACTAAGCCTAAGAAGAGCATCAAGCGTTAAGTTCGAGTTGTGCAAGAAAAGACACGTTGCTGCGAGCATTTATAAACGCACAAATACATATGCAAATGCCTCTTTATAAGTATATATGGTGACATATAAAATGGCCAAAGGAAGACGGAACAATTTTCATTCTTCTTGATTATGTTAATGCCTGGCGCTGGCGCTGGCGCTGTCAACGACACATGCTGCTCCTGCCACTGTCTGACTTTGGAGGCCGACTAGCCGTTTACTGCTGACTGTGCAGCTGACTTCTTAGCGCTTCTCTATTTACTAACTGAGTGTTTGCTTTAAGTTTGCCACCTCTGCATGAAACCATGGTCACAGCTTACTTACTTAAGTAAAATGTTTTCTCGCTAGTCCAGTTTAATGCGCGCTACTGTGACGGTGACGATGGCGGTGGTTACGGTAGTTGCGGTGATGGCTGCGTCTGTGGTGTTAGAGCAACGGCGTTAATGCGTAGCAACAATACATGCAAGCAAATAAGAAGAATAAGAGATGCCAACTTAGCGCTCAACTTACAACATCGTGATATATTTTTCATATACATACATACATGTCTGTATATATGCATGTTTATATGAAATGATGATGAAACTAGCATGAGTGTGCCGATGCGTGCGCAACCAAATTGTGTGCATGTATGTATGCGTGTGTGAATTTGCCATAAATTTCAGGTATGAAAGCAGCAACTGGAGCCCGTGCTACAACCGACACACAGATAGACGCACATAAATAAACAAGAGCATAAGTAAGTGGCAACAAAAGAGCATAGAGTAAAGTAGCTTTGGTAACAAGCAATAAATAAATAAATAAGTTGAAAGTCAGCGCGTTAATGCTGTTGCGTTTCCATCTCAAATATCATTATTGTTTCAATTCGAATTGTTGTTGGCACTTATTCCATTTGCCTTTTATTCATACTACTATACAACTAGACTCAGGTTTCTCGCAAGCAGCTAAGGAAATTGCATTTTCTTTTGTGAAATGGGTATGAGTTTGTGCGTAAAACTTGTATGCAATATATAATAGATATATACTTATTTATGTATTCGTATATATAATCACAAAATTTTAATATCCATGTATTCTTTGTAAGACACATTGAAGTCTGCGGTAAAAGTTGAGGTATGTTTTCATTAAAAAATGTCTCTATTTTGTTCGCTTATATTCTGTAACAATTACTATTATCTTATATAAGTTCAAGTTATGTTTAGTGCAATTCCATTTCCGCGCAATCTTTAATGCTTTCTTTTTTGTTTCCCAAATATGCAGAGAGCAATATTTTTAAAAATATCTGATTCTAATCTTTCAATTTACCAATATTATTATCAATCAGGTTTGCAAATAAAAAAAGTTTTAAAATTTCTAAATACCGTAGTTAATATTAAAAAAATAAAAATAATAATAAATAAAAATAAAAAGGACTAAAAATTAAAAACTAAAATCTTAATACTCAATACCGGTTTATGACTAAAAAAAATCTTCGGTTGCACCAAACCCCTCAAACCCGTCACAGCTAAAAATGTTTGTTGACAGAATTTTATTTATTTCGTGTTCTATGATTTTGGGTATCTTTGTGAAACGATAGCTGATTTTAAATAAAATTTTAAGTTAGTTTAACACTCTTTGTCTTATTTTCTTTTAATTACTTGTAATATAATGCTTCAGTTAGAAATATCCTTTCTTTTTATCTTTTTTATTTTGACTTTTGATTTCAAAAACAATTTTTTCGTTTGTTACTGTAATTTTTACATTTAAAACTTTTAAAAATTTTGATTGCATTTTGGCAATTTTAGTAATGAAACTGATTCCTCATGTCGAATTTTTGGGTTAAAAAATAAGTTTTATGTATTTAATCCACAAATTTTTAATTATAAAACGCAAACATGTTAACAATTAATATATTTTTTTTTTAAATATTAACTTCAATGATAATTTTCAGCTTCTGAGGAGAATTTATTTATTAGTTATTTAATTACTTACTTAAGCAAAAAATTACTTTACTTCGAATTTTATCTGTAACTTTTTGCCTAAAAGTAATATTTTTTGTTAGTATAAGCGGTCACTTCAGCACCCTAAAATAAGATGAGCTTTGAGAATTTAATTTGGGAAATAAATCAGTCTCTTTCAAACTTTTTTATATCAAAACAAAAAAAAACAACATTGTATTGACAGTTTGATACAAAATAGTGGCTTGTGGACCATATCTCAACGCTTTTCAAGCGGGACTCTATATTCTCAGGCGTTTATAGAAACTCACGGCATCTGTAACAAAAAACGAAGAAAACAAAAAAGAATAAGACCTGGGACTCCAGAGTGTTTAGCCAAAATACGAGACTTGAAACTATTGCAAATAATTTTACTAACATTCAAATTATTCTTTCTAACTTTTTCACTCATACTCAAACAATTTTATTTCTACTTTATTTTATATAAATAATTGTATAATTTTTATAATCGAAAAGTTCAATAAAAGTAAAACCCTTATTCGAACTCGCAATATTTTTAATTAATTTATTTAAAATTACAATACACGCATATACAATTTTTCCATTTACTTCATATCTATTAAACAGAGCTACGATAAGTATTAAGCAGAGGCATTATAGCAGCTATCGTGCTATCAGTGTTGTTTCTCTCAACACGAAGCAACAATTTGTTGTTTTATGCCCACAGAAAGCAACAGTCTCTACTTACACAACAACAACATTAAAGAAACGGCAACAATAATAAAGTCACAACAACAATGCGTGTCAAGCCAAACTAAGCAATGCCAATGTCGTGAGCGCAAGTTTCACTCGCAGTTGGCGAATATTTATGGGTTCACACAGTCGCATACACACACATACATACACACGGCCACATTTCTAAGCCGGCGCTAAAGAGTGAACGAAAGCTTTGCATAAAACCAATTTTGGTGAAAAGCTGCAGTGCAAAAGCGTGTCTAACTGTAGATACCCGGTCGCATCACATAACACACGTACACACATATACCCACACAGACAGCGGCCAGTCCAACATTGGAGTACGCTGATAAGTGTATACTCAAATGTGACTTAATGTTTAAGCGTGTGAAGGCACAAAAGCGGCAAAAAAACATTAGCGAGCACTCAAGCTCATTTTTGCGGTATTTGTTTTTGTATTTGTATATGCTTTCGTTAGTCTCTATTTAGTAAGGCTAAATACATTTGATTGCAAAACAGCTACCGATATCACTCATACGCCCTGTCCGCTCGCTTAGTACACATAGCAAACGCACAAAAGTATGCTTCACACAGCATATTCACCATGCGTAAAACTCACCACACGCACTTCCTTACATTCGCTGCCGACGAAACGGCATTTGGCGACGGCACGCGATTTGTTGCAAACTTCAGTTGGTAATTTACGCTTGAGCCGCAAGGACTTGTGGACGTCGCGCGTGAACTTTGCACCAAAACCGCAGCTAAAGCAATAGCAAGAGTCATAGCAATAGCTACAGGAAAAGCAGCAGCAATAGCAATATAACTGCTGCAGCAACAGTGAAGTTTTGTGTGAGTTGCAGTTGAAACGGCTTACAAACAGTCGCTTATTTAGACAGGTCCAGTTGTTTCGTAGCGTTGATTTTCGCGTATTGTATAACGGTGTTTACTTTCCAGTGTATGTGTATGGCTGTGTTTGTTGTTAGTTGACCGCAGCAGCTGTTGCAAGTCAATAACCATAAAAGCTGCACATATTCTTTCATACATACATATATGCTATAGTGTGTCTATATATGCTATAAGTGTATATGTATGTATATATGTGTTTCCCTAAGTAGGGAATTCAACTGCAAGCGTTAGCTACAAACGACCGCCAATTACGGTATGCGTGCATGGAACCACGCATACACAAGCAATAACAAAAAAATTTATTGACTTATCTTCAAAGCTGTAAAAAGATAGTTTAACGGTTTTATTGCTATTTCTGCATTTACGAGCAAACATATCATTCGCACTCTGTACACGCATGAGCGGTTCAATAAAGTAAACGGAATTTTGTGCGCATCCCAAAAGAAGACAGTCAAATCATCATTTAAAAAGTGTAATATTTCTCGAGAAATCCTCCCAGAGCTAATACCGTTAAAGCGCGGTTCTAAGAAACTAAGTTAACAATAAATCACAGTGACTTTTCGGCGTTCGCTCGTGTTGTAAGTTTACAATTACATTAACGCGATTCAATTAGCGGCGAGCAAAGACAACAGCACAGCGGACAAAACGCTCTCAAATTAAACAAAAAATAGTAATAATAAAAAGTGTTCGAAGAACATCGTCTAGCGCAAAGCAGAAATAACAGAAATAAAAGCAAATGTAGTGGACAAAACTGAAGAACCTGAAAAAATAACGGTTAACTGAACAAGCGCAAAAAGCAGACATTTCGCTTTAACCCCAGCAGTAGCCGCCTAATTGGAAACAACGCCGCATTCGTCAAGCGCACAGCAGTTGTCAGCCGACGCTAGGCAGACCGCAGCAGTTGTAACCGGAAACACAGTGGTGCAAGTTAAAAACTCAAGCGCGCGGCAGCAACTTAAGTGGCAACAACAAAGGCAGCAAGTCCAGAAATTCAGTCGCCTTTGAGTTAGCATCGCATCGCGTACAAAAGGAATTCTCATCGGCGCACAAGTGGAAGATGATAAGTAAGTGAGTGTGTGTGTAGCGAGCGAGGAGCTTTTTGACAGCAAATATGTAGCGCTGTGAAAAATTATTAACATCCTTTAAGTCGTGCAGCCAACTCCTCTGATTTTATTGTCTCACATTGCTGACATTTTCGTGCTTTATTGTTTTTTTGTTGTAATTTAGCCCTTAACGCTTTATTGCCACTTTCGCCGCAAGTGCCTTAAACAGCTCCCGTACAGTTTTATGAGGCTTATAATTAAAGTTGGCGTTAAAAGTTGACGCTCAGCTATCCATTTGTTGTAGTGTGTGGCATTAAGTTTTTTTTTTTGCGGAGCACAGCAGCGCAGACAAGTCATTAGCTGGAAGGTTAAAACGGAAATGGACTTTTTAATTAAAAAAAATGGGTTGAATTTTTATTTCTGAGTTTGTTTGGTAAAGATTTAATAGACTTACTAGTATTTTATTCAGCAAATATTAAAAAAACGTGTGTGAGTAAACTCTTGTTTCTGTCAATATAAAATTTGATGGAAATTGTCCCCTAATTCATTTAATGTTGTCTAATAGTTAATTTGTTTAGCAAAGTCCTCTAAATAATAAAAATTGCAAAACTTATTCTTAAATTAATTTAATTTTGTAAAACTATTATTTTTTGAAATTAAAATACTTATAAAATAAATTTCGTAACTTTGGCCTGGAAGAACCAAGCAGCTTTCCATATTTCTTAGCTTCAGTTCTAATTCGATGAAACACATTTAACTGAGATATTGGTTTGGGTTATTATTTATTTAAAAATATTGAATTTCAACAGATTTACTCTAAGAGAACTGTTTGCAAAAGTCCAGCGTATGTTTTAGTGTTCTAGTGTTCTCGAGCATTGCTATCATATATAACGATAAGTATAAAACTAGCATTATTAGATGGCAATACATTCCCGTATTTAAGTGGATACAAAGCAAAAGAAAGAAGGCACAAATGTTCCATTCGACAGGAATAAGTTCGATTGATCGGATTGCAATATATAAAAGCAAATTTTAAATAAGGCCCCACCAAACTGCTGAATAGAACCTTGCTCTCAAAGCCAATTGTCCATATGATACATATAGGCACGTTTGTACCCATCAAAGTCAATTATCACATTACTTAATATATTATTTTTTAATACATAATATTATAAAATTGATATAAATAGAAAATTGCAGTACTTATGCAAAAATAATATTAATTTTAATTTTTTTTTATTAAAATTAAATGTTTATGAAGATAAATCAAATTCTTTGCACAGACTCAAAACCCTAAAAATGGCACCTTTTTGACGATGGATTGCAAAAAATTTCACATTATTACTCTTAAACTTTCACACAGAAAAAACTATAATTTGTTTGAAAACTTTGCCCTAGACACGTCCTAGAATACACAACTGCCGGTTCAATGTAGCCGACTTCTTGGCAGAAGATTTCTGCTTACGTACCTTTGAAGCAGCAATTTTGCTTTACTTAATGTTGATAATCCCAGTTGTGACTAGATACTAGCATTAGCATTTTTGAATATTTGAAATTTAGCGATTAAAACGGAAAAAACAGCCAAGGTGAAGGATCCCGTTAAAGTAAATTCCGGCAAATTGAATTGGCTACAGTTAGACATTCATGTGTTAGCCATTCTAAGCTGGACAGTTTTATACGGTATGCAGCGCACTTTTAATTTTTTTTATTAATTTATACTTATCAAAATTTAGCGTATACACATAATTCTAGTAAAATCTACTAAATCAGATACGTAAAATATACAAAAATTTATTATATTATTGTGATGCAATATGTGATGCTGTTGAGGTTACTCATGCGCCGCAGCAACCGCCTCATTCTAGAACACAATGAAATAGATGCAGTAAAAGTCCAAATTTACCAACAAAGTTATAAGAAATTGTACATTATATTCAGGAAAATCGTATCGGAGAATAGCGTTATTTTGTATATTATTTGACATATATTCCTTTGTGTTTAGGTAAATTGAACAATTTAACAGGTTAGTGTTGATTTTTATACTCTAGCAACATGTTGCAACCGAATATATTCGTTTTGTTTATCTAACAATTGTTTGTATCCCCTAAAATAAAACGAGATAGATATAAAGCTATGTATATATAAATGATCCGGATGACGAGACGAATTGACGACTTGCCGTCCGTCTGTCCGTGCAAGTTGTAACTTGAGTAAAAATTAAGATATTTTGATGAAACTTGATACACATGTTCCTTGGTACCATAAGACGTTTGGTATTGTAGATGGGCATAATCGTCACTGCCACGTCCACAAAACGTCATAAATCGAAATCCTATAAATTTCCATAACTAACTTAAGCACTAAAATAAGATATAAACCTGTCACTTAGTACAAAGAACTGCATTGATTTTATAGGAGCCGATGTCAAAATTGGATGATGGGCATGGCACCTCTAACATTTAAGTGAAATCACATATCTCCAGATCTACTTCACCAAATTCAGTACATAACATTCTCCTAGCGATCCTAGGTTATAGTGGGAAAATTAGCGAAATCGGATTGCAACCACGTCTACTTCCCATATACCACACTTTTTTTTTTTTTGTATAATGGTAAGCTTTTTGCCCAAAATAAGTAAAATCTGGCGAAACCTTGCCCTAGTCTACATATAACTAATCACAGAATTTTCAAACATCCGGTTGATTTTACCCCATATATGTTGGTGACGGTATGTGAGGTACCTTTATGAAACTCATTCTCTTATAATATGTAGTAATGCCAAAAATAGATAAAATCAGGTCGGGAAGTATATACCTAATATAAGATTTTCAAAAATCTCAGACGTTCCTTACTTGTTTAATATTTGCTTTTTACTTTAAATAAACAAATAGATAAAGTAAATTAAATACTATTAGTTACCCTTTAGTTGGTAATGCTGGTTTGAAAATAATAATTTCAATTAAATGTATAAATTTGCCTTTCTATGAGCTTTTAAATATATAGAGATGACGTTTTTTTAATATTGTCTAATAGCAAATATGCGCCCCTAGAATGGCAACTGCTACTGAGAAATAAATATTTATTTTATCATTTCATATTTAATGTCCAGCATATTACGGAAACATTTACTTTCCATGATAGCCGCCAAAATTTTATGTCATTCACTTTTAATAGAAGCAGTAAAAATATCTAACTGCAATATAATAACATACTTAGTCAAATACAAGAAGAAACGTTTCAGTATACTAATAGCTCTGTAAGCAAACTTTTAATGCATAGCGAAGGAGAAGAAGGAATGTCGGTTACTAAGGAAGCTATTGCGCTTGACCAAAAGCTCATAGATCATATTTACCATATTTTATATAAATATTTAGGTTTCTTTTATTATTATATACAATGACTTCATATTATTAAAAATTACTAAATATTTTGCAAGGTAATTCTTCTCTTCAAACTTGTCCACGAAACCGTCAAATAATCCGATTTCAAATATTTCTTTGCAGTTTTATAATTTATGATAGTCAAAGCCGTAGTTAGGCATACAATTTAAAATACGTATTGACAATATACTTCTTCATTTGGGAAGTCACATTAGTATTCGTTTCTTATTGCCGTAAAGGTGAAAAACATTTTTTTCTACAAAAATAATAATTTCTTCATACAAACATTTTTCTAAAGGGTTCTTTTCATTATTCGAAACTTTACCGATTTCTTTGCCGTCACGCCAAGTTTCTTTAACCGTTCAACTTTTGCAGCTACTCCTGACTAAAAAATTACTATTCACATACACATAGAAGTATATATAGGTAAATTATATACGTATACATTTATATATCTACATTAAAAATTTATGTATATAGGTATGTTCTTATGGACGAGTGAAGCGCTATTTTATCATTTATGCCGCGCTGCACTATTCTACTATTTCTACAATACACAGACGCTGCATGCCTTTCGCAAAAGTAAAGAATGTCAACACTGTGGCAGCTTTGGCTCGCTTGAGTGCTTTAATTCATCTCTTCTCACGTTCAAGTTATGTGAAGTAACTACAATTGGCTTTTTAATGGCTAAAACAACTTGAAGAAAAAGTTAGTCGTGCCAAAATAAATTTTCATCTTTCGCTGACTGTTTCAAATGTATGAATTTGCACCGCTGCAGCGTACGTCTACATTCATTTATACGATATATATATGTGCTTTTGAACAATACATATGTACGCTTTCCAAGATTTTAGTCGAACGAAGAGTATAGAGTTATGTCGTTTTTGGTAAAATTGAAAGTGGCAGTGACGAGAAAATACACATAGTGTGCTTAAGCATTAAGTATGCAAATATAACGGTGCTAGTAGAATTTATTATTCAGAATTTTTCAAAATCTCATTTTATTACTTTTCTCTTAATTTTAACTCATTTAAATTCTCTTTAAGGCATATTATGCAGTTTAGATGGGACAGAATTATTTGAAATGTATTTTAAATAAATCTAGAATTGTAGGAAAGGCTATTTAGCACAGTACATATAACAGTAGGCGTGGAAGCTTTTGCTAGCAAAAATATTTGTAGCTCAATAAAAAGAGAAGAATAAAATTATATTTTTTATTAATTTTTATTCTGTGAATGCTCAATAGTTGTATGTATTTACAACGCGTTTGTGGTATAAAGCCATTTATAAAGAGAATGAAATACGAAGCAATTGCAATTATTGTGTTTTGCAAGTGTTGACCGTAGCTCGTATGCGTAATATATATATTAAAATAATAGTAATATCTCAATAAAGATAATGCTGCTTATCGTAAAGCATTTGGCACCACTAGACCAAGGCAATATATTAATTTATAATAATAATATAATATTATATTTCATGTTATCACTTTAATTCCATTAATTAATAAAATAAGGCAGCAATTTTATTTTATTTTTTAGTATTTATTGTAAATTTAGTAAAATTGATTGATATGTTAAATAATAACTTTTTCAACTAAAATTGTTTTGGAGCTAAATTAAACCGGCAGTAAATATTATA